AACTCAATTCCATCAGATCTATTCAATTTGCGGACGACACCCTGATCTTCTCCAGGGCTAACTCCTCTGATATGGTTACTCTCAAATCCATTCTTTCAATTTTTGCCAGCATTTCAGGGCTTTGTGCTAACCCTCAGAAATCCAATCTGTACTATCTTGGGAAAACCCCTCATAAAGGCAATTTCCTGGCTGATACCCTCAACTGTGCAGTCGGTACCCTCCCTTTCTCTTATCTGGGTCTCCCCCTGAAAAGGGGATCTCTATCCAAAAGAGAGTGGCAACCTCTCCTAGAATCTTTTAAAAAAAAGCTATCTTTATGGAAGAACAAAACTCTTTCAATAGGAGGCAGATTAACATTGCTGAACTCAGTGCTCTCCTCTATTCCCCTTTATTACATGTCTTTCTTCAAGTTGCCGATATGGGTCTCCAAGGCCATTGATAAAATCAGAAGAAATTTCCTCTGGAATGGCAGCCACAGCTTCTCTAGATCCAAGTGCCTCATTAACTGGGGTATAGTATGTAAACCCAAAGTTGAAGGTGGGCTTGGGGTGATTGATATCCCCTCCTTTAATTCAGCCCTCCTCTCCAAATGGATCTGGAAAATTTGGGATAGATCATCATTCCTCAGTGAAGTGTTTTTTTCTATATATTCCAAACATGGAGCTAACCCTTTTGCTAATCATCCGAAGTTGGCACACTCAAGATTTTTCCAGGACCTTCTCTCAGCTCAATCCACTTTCTTCAGCATTGTCAGATGGAATGTCGGTAATGGTACTTCGAGCAGTTTTTGGCATGACAAATGGGCAGCAGCTAACACCCTTAGCAGCCTCTTTCCCCATGCTTACAAGCTTGCCTTCTCGAGTAATTGTAGCATCAGTTCGCAAGGTAGATGGGCAAATGGTTCATGGCTTTGGCATCCTATTATTAGAAGGGGATCTTCCCCAAGAGAGAGGGATGATGTTATTCATCTCCACTCCTTCCTAGAACATCTATCTCCAGGTGGCCCATCCGAACAAGACTCCTTATGGTGGCCTCTTCACCCATCGGGCGCTTTCTCTGTAAAATCCCTTTACTCTTTTACTTCTTCAGGGGGTTTTAAATCCCAGTTTTTCAAGTTAATATGGAAATCCAACATTCCCCTTAAGGTAAAAATCCACCTCTGGATCATCTCTAAAGGGAAATTGAATACCAAAGATAATTTGATCAAAAAAGGTTGGAACGGTGATCCAAGTTGTCCATTATGTCATCGGGAGACGGAGTCCCATGACCATTTATTTATACACTGCTCTTTTGCTCGTGAAGTATGGAATCACCTTCTCCCACATTTCCCAGCAAACTGCTGGCCTTTAAACATGGAAAAGCTGCTGCTGCTCTATCAATTACCCAACATTTGCCTGAATATCAAAACCTTTTGGAAGATCTTGTTGCCTTGTTTCTGTTGGCGGATATGGTTTACAAGGAACTCTTTAATTTTCAGAGATACTCCTCCTAACTCGCTATTAGCTGCATCTAATATTGCGAGATTCTCACTTTTCTGGACAGGTGAAGAAGATGACAGGACGGTGAGGAGGCTTCGTAGGGAAGCCCTTAATCTCGGCCTCCAGAACCTAGCGAAGAAGTCTTCCTCAGGGGATGCAGGGGAGAGCCTCCGCAGCAGCTAACATCTGTATCCTGAGTGGCATTCAAGACATGCTTTGTTGTCTTTGGGTGTTTTTTTGTTCCCTTTTGGTTAGGGGCTATCAGTGCCTAGCATTTACAGTCTCTTATCAGTATTGTAGTGTTTTCTATGATCCTTATGAAACGTTGTCTATTTTTGGTTTCCTTTTGCCTTCTTTAGATGATGGAATCGGTTGGTGTGGCGTGGTAGGTGACGACTATGGTCCGCTCCCTACCCACCTCTCTCACTGATCTCACCATCATCTAGAGAAGAAGTATGTACATTCTTCTATCTTCTATTAATATATTCAAATGAACAGGGTACCTCACCCTGTTTCTCAGGTTCAAAAAAAAATTGTGACAGATTGTTAGATAATAATAAAAATCCGTCGATCCCTAAAACCCACTTTTTATTTTATTTTATTGCCTCCTCATTCAAAATACAAAAGAAATTACTGAACCAACGATAAGAGAATTCATTCAATCTCCACATCTCAAAATATAAGGTAAAATTAATAAATTATATATCACCAAAGCAAATTATCTATAACTTAATATAGCAATTACGAATTTAGGCATTAAGTCTAAGAAACATCTAGAACTTCACGTCCATCGCAAATTTAAGCATTCAATCTAAATATCTGAAAAAAATGAGAATTTAAAAAACTTTAAAAATCTAAAAATATATTCTATTAGTCATCTTCAGTGTCTTCATCCCCTTCTTCCTTGACCACACTTCCTACTTGAATTGTTCCTTTTTAACTGCATGAATCTCGATATTAGTCATACAAGTTTAGAGACAATGTACTAATTTAAAATGTTATACTTTCTGTTAGGGTTAAAATTACTTAACTATTTAGGCAAAAAAAAAAAATTATATGTAACAAAACGTTTACATATATAACTAGTTGATGATATATTTCAACAAAAATAATAGGGTTATTTAGATATAGGGCCTGTTTGGTTGTGGTTTTTTGTTAGGAAAGCAAAAAAAAAAAATGTGTCAGAATGCAGGGTCTCTGTTCAGTTTTCACCTTTTACGGTGTTTAGATGCAACGACAAAAGGAAGAAAATGAGTTGACGTGATGTTGCAAATGATGAAGTGTCACGAATTTAGAATGAAATTTAGAAGAGTAGCACTAGGGGCACACCACCAACCACAACTCCAACCACACCCTCTCTCTCTCTCATTTGCTACAGTGCACCAGCCTCCACATGGGATTTTTAAAATCCGATGTGGAGGCCGGTGCACTGTAGGAAATGAGAGAGACGGTGTGGTTGGAGTTATGGTTGGTGGTGTGCCCCTATCATTTCCTAATTTAGAATTCACTCCAAGACCCGTTTTCATTCAAAAGCTGACACGACTGTCACATTGAGAGAAAACAACATGATGGGTTCATAGGGTTTTTAAACTGATGGCTTAATAAGGGAAATTTTCACAAAACACCACCCTTAAATTCACTTCATTGCTTATTATGTTAATAAAATCTCTCTTTGTGAAATTTACCCTTCACTTGTACATTCACAATGGAGTACAAAGATATGGTCATTTACGTTAAAATACCCCAAAGTTTTACCTTATATTTCACTTTGATATCCTAAACTTTTTCTTTTGCCCAAACAACAATTAAACAAAATTAATCTTAGATACACTAAAGTTTTTTTCCCTTAATAAATTATCCTAAAGTTCAACAAAACTTAATTTTAATATCCCAAGCTTAAATTTTTTATTAAAATTTTGTTAATGTTTGGACTATCAAAGTTAAACTTTCTATAAGTTTTGAGGTATCAAGTTAAATTTTGTGGAACTTTAACGTTTCTTTTGGGCACCAAAAAAAAGGGTATCAAAGTTAAAAATAAAGTAATTTTGGAGAAACTTTTGGCAAAGAAAACATTGGGGTAACAATGTGAAAAAAAAGTAACTTTGAGGTATTTAAATGCAAAAGATCATATAAAAATACTATCAATGGAGTTGAAGATAATCTTGTTATGGTAATATGCTCTTTTTTATGGGGTCCGCATAGCTATAACTTTCCGAGAATCTATCATGCAAACCAACCAAAGCAATGCTATCATTTTAGGATTAATGGAATTCAAATCAAACTATCTAAAACCCCAAATTGAAAGTGATGAGGTGTACAATCACTTTCGATTTGTTGTCATAAATACCTAACTTCCCTACAAACATCCGAACAGCCTCATAATCCCTCAAATCTTTAATAATTCTATATTAGTCTCTAAAGTCTCAATTATTCTCATTAGTCCCTGAGGATCAGGTGTTTTAATTTAGTCCCACGTTAAGCAAAATACTCCTTAGTTATGATTTCTTTCTTAAAATTCATTTTGTTCAAAAAAAGGTTATTTGTACTTTGGTACTCTAAAGTTTACACTTTTTTAACTTTAACACCGTAAATTTTATACTTTTTTTTTAATTTGATACCTTAAAAAATTTTCGTTGACACTCTTGAAGTTTATACCTTGTTTACTTTGATACTCAGAGTTTTCTTTTTGACAGTTTAATACCCCAACCTTTAGCGTATCAAAGTTAAAAAAGTGTAAACATTGAGGTATCAAAGTTTAAAAAAAAAGTAAAATCTTTGGGATATGTATATTAACAAACGTGTAAACTTCAGGGTATCAAATTAGTGTCAAAAAAAGTTTAGGTATCAAAGTTTAAGGTGGTGTAAACTTTAGAGTTCCATATTGCAAACCCTTCAAAAAATTAGTTGAGGGTATTTTGGTCATTGGGGACTAAATTGCAACAACCCTAGAATTTGAGGGGCTAGTGAGCAATTCCATAGATGTGAGGGGCTAATATGAACTTATTTAAGATTTAAGGGACTACGAACTAAATAACCCCCAATAATAATAATTGTTTCAGGTTTGAAGCGCTCCTGACTCGAACGGTCGAACCTACTCAAACTCGAATCCTTTTTCTCTTCCTATCCGTAGCCATAACCGAAGATGGAGCGTTAATCACTTCTGATATTGCCGTTTTAATTAACTCACCCTACGATCTACATCTTGGTGAAATAAAAGACTCTCCATCTATTTGGCTATATCTCATCCTCGTTAGGGGGGAAGCGAACCAAATATTTAATAAACAATTCGGTTAATATTCGTAATATTTGATTAGGCTCATTATTAACTATTCGGTAATTTTTATACGTTAATGCTATTAATTAAGCTTATTGCAAATATTACCCATCAAAATTTATATTACAACTTCTACCCCGTGTACTGAGTTTCCACTTTTCCGCCTCTCAACCAAATACCTGTTTCTCCCTCTCAGCTAGGGTTTCCTCCCTCCTCGCCGACGACGCCGTCCTCCCTCCCCGCGACGTCCTCCCTCTCCGAGGACCTGCGCTCCTCTCTCTCCGACGCCCTCCTCCCTCCCGGCGACGACGCCGTCCTCCCTCTCCGAGGACCTGCGCTCCTCCCTCTTCGACGCCCTCCTCCCCTCGACGGCGCCCTCCTCCGTATCCGACGACGCCCTCGTCCCTCCCCGCGACGACGCCCACCGGTAAAAGTTACATATGCCCTACAATAATTAGCAAATACATATCGAATATTTGACGAATAGTTCGAAATCAAAGCTGCAGGATAATGCTAATCGAATATTCGTGAATTTTTTTTCGAATATCGATATAAATAAACGAAGCGAATTCGAATTTGTATTACTATTCGAGTCGAATTTGAATAGTCGAATTCGAATACAAACACGAATAGCACCATATAAACCGAAGTCGAATTTGAACCTTGCACTATTCGTTCAAATTCGATTTGATTCCACCCCTAATACCCGTGCTTTCCTTCTCAGTTTCAGCCTCACGAGCTGCGCATGCCAACTCCTCGATGAAATTCCCATGAGAGACTTACATCGACTAGACCCATTCAAATTTGGTTATTTATCTCAATTTTCTTTTAAAAATTGTATTTCATCCTTTGTCAGAAATGGACATTCTTCTTAGTAAAGGTTTATTTTGGAGCAGATTTTTTTTCCTCGATGAAGCGTCTCCATGATTCGACCTCAATTGGGATTTTCGCGCCGGAACCTCCTTCGAAGACTTCATCAGTACTCTTCTGCTGCTCTTTTGACAATTCTAGATGACCCGTTGGTCGATTACGTCGAGAGAACTAGCAAAACTTCGCAGGTTAACCAGTTCAGCTCTTGCACTGTGACAAGCCCGACCCTTTTCCCCTACGTTGCTGTCTCTGTGAAAACTTTGAATGGGGATATTTTCCGTGAGATGAAATTTGCAAATGCGGTGGAAATATATGGCCTTTCTCATGCGTTAGAGTCATTCTCAATGCTGGTCGGGATTTTCTCACAGGCGAAAATGCATGCAGAAGTTAGGCATTTGCTTCTTGATGCAATGGTTTTTGACAAGGGATTGCATTCTGAAGTTGTGAGATTTTCTAGTGGTTCGATTACGCCGTTGCAAGCCTATGGAGATCTGATAAAAGCTCTCGTGGACAATTCAATGATTGAGGATGCGCTGGAATTTTGTTTGGAGGCTATGGGAATTGGGCTGGAAATCGGCGTCCCTCTGTGCAATTCTTTGCTCAAGTGTTTCGTCGAGAGGAATAATGTTGGGGTTGTCAGGAGTTTGTTTGAGTATATGAAGGTGTTTGGGCCATCACCGAACATTTACACTTATACTACTATGATGGAGTTGTACACTAAAGGCAATACACTGGATGTAGGTGAAGCTAACAAGATTCTTGTAGAGATGGAAAATCATGGTGTCAGGCCTAATGCAGTAACATATAGCATGTACCTTCGAGGGCTTTGTAAGATAGGGAAGGCTGAGAGTGCTTGGGAATTTCTTAAGGACTTGCAGCATAAAGGACTTGAGTATGATAACTACTGTTGTAATGCTGTCATTCTTGGTTTCTGCCGTAAAGGGGAGTTGAACAAAGCACTTACAGTATTGGATGAGATGAAGAAGTGTGGCTTATCACCTGATGTTCATAGCTATAGCATCTTGGTCGATGGGTTTTGTAAGGTGGGTAATGTTTCTGAAGCTTGGAATCTCTTTGAGGAAATGCATAGAAGAGAATTAATGCCTAACGTGATCACGTATACCTCTCTATTGTGTGGAAATTGCAATAAAGCTGTTTCGTGAGTTGAGAGATAAGGGCTATGGGAGAGATCTTATGGCCTATAGCATTCTCATTGATGGATGTTGTCAGCATGGTGATCTGGATGGTGCACATGAGCTATGGCATGAAATGATCCAAGACAAGTTTACTCCAGACATTTTCTGCCATACCAGTCTAATTTACAGCTATTGCCAAAAGCAAAAATTGCAGGAAGCTACGGATCAGTTTGAAATCATGCTTAATGATGGTGTGGTGCCCAATGTTGTTACTTGCACCATTATTATTGATGCGTTCTGCAAGGAAGGGCGTGCTATAGAAGCTTTTAGGTTCTTAAATGAAATGGAGGAGCTGGGTATCAATCCCAATATATTTACTTACACTACAATCATTGATGCACTATACAAAATTGGAAGTTCATGTGTTGCATGGGAGATTTTTGGAGCTATGATAAAGAGAGCTCTTGTTCCTGATGTAGTTCTATTTACCATCCTAATCAATGGTTTAGTCAAAACATTGGACTTGGAGAAAGCTCTTATGATCTATGAAATGATGTCTCAAAGGGGTATAGATCCAAACATTTTTACTTACACAAGTCTCATCAATGGGCTATGCAGCGCTGGAATGCTTCCTACAGCTTTGGGCTTATTTGAGGAAATGAAGTGGAAGGGATTCAAGCCTGACAGGGTTCTTTACTCTACGATGATTTCATGTTGCTGCAGATGCAAGGATATGAAGAAAGCTCTGGTATTTGTCAATTCAATGGAGACAGATGGGTTTGAACCTGACACCATTGTGTACAGTTCAATAATTGCAGGTTATTGCAGGTCCAACAATATGGAGATTGCTGTAGAACTGTTCTATAAATTGGAGAGACAGAAATTCAGACTTGACAGAAGTATGTATACTTCAATAATTGCTGCTTATTGTAGGTGCAATGATATTAAGAAGGCTGTAAGATTGTTCAATAGAATGGTGGAAAGTGGTTTACTACCAGATGTGTATATGTATACTTGTTTAATAGAGAGATGTAGCAAGTTGTCAGTGATGAGCATTGCAGAGTTGTTGCTGGCTAAAATGATTATAGTAGGATTCACTCCTGAGGCAATAAATTATACAACTCTTATACACGGATATCGTAAGATGGGTGACTTTGAGAAGGCCTTTGAGTTGCATAAATGTATCCTGACGCAGCTTCCTGAATCTTTACATCAATAGGCTGGAAAATACCAACAATTAAACCACCTCAGCGTATATGCCTGGATCAGATGATACTAATTTGCACTCAAGTCCTACTGGTTCACTACGGTAAGCAAAGCTTACATCAATGAAATATACCTTTTGTGACAATTTGCAGTTGACCACGCACACACCATGGAGATGCTGCTTATTTCTATTTTTATAATGTCATGCAGGTGAAAATATAAGCTGTCTAAGTTTTTGTTGAAAATCAAAATTCGATTCTAATACAATATATTACAATACTAACTGTTTATATGCAACTAGGCTAGTAGAAATCAATTTACATGGATATATATAAACAAGAATGGCCTTTATAAGATGGTAACCCTCGGTTGTTTAAAGTTAGATAATTTGCTTTAGGTTTATGCTTTGTTTTTTTGCATGATTATTCTCTTTTTTAAAAAATTCTCATCTTAAGTTACTGTTTCTCGATGTAAATCAATTTACATGGAGATATATCAACAAGAATGGCCTTTCTAAGATTTTCTTGCATGATTATTCTCTTTTAAAAAAAATTCTCATCTTAAGTTACTGTTTCTTGATGGAGAACAAATTTCTGCTGCTGCTTTACTACTGGTTAGTGTATACAATGTACAGAAATTTTAAAAAAAATTAATGTTCCAGACTCTTGTTCTAATCAATGAATTAGGAGTGACAAGATTCCTTAATCCGTATTGCATTGATTGGGTGGAGGCAGCAAAACTTGTGGCTGCTTTGATTTGTATGAGGGGATAACCGTGGCTGTGCCTATAGTAGTTATTTCTGTAAACTGAATTCTGCAGAGCCATTGTATGGCCAGGAGAGGTTGATGGAGGGAGTACGGAGTGAGTAGACACATTGAAATTGTTTGTTTGTGTTAAGGAGTGTAAGCCATCTATATGCTAATATAATCTTGCACAAAAGGTTTTTTTAGGTCTTCTGATGTTACAGTATGCACTGATGCTTTTTTCTGTTGGTGGTTTTATTACAGTCTGGATTGTGCGTGCTTATAATTCCACCCTTGACAAGTAAAGTTCATCTCACAATCTTCTCTTATTCTAGGAACCGCATGCATACTATCAGTTTATTTTATTATGATTATTATCTTGCAACTTATTTTTAAAATATTGTTTAAATTGAATTTTTGGAACTTGACTATGTAAAAACAATGATATCATTCCACGTATCATTTATATTTTCTTTCTGTTTTTTAAGTTCTTGCAGCTATAAGTGAGAGGGAAACTAAGGGTATAAGGCAGTTATTGGAGAAGAAAGAGGGTAGTCTTTGACGAAAGATGATGGGAAAGAGAGTTAATTTTGCCTGAGGGTCGGTCATTTCCCCAGATTCATATTAAGCTGTACTTTGTTTTTATTTTGAAAGACTCATTTAAACTTTAAAGAAAAACTTTGTATGCTAATGCCCAGGAATCAGCCATTCAGTTCAATAGGTGCAGAACCATGTGGTAATCTGAGGCGACAATTGAAACGATCCTCCCTGAGGTGCATTCTTGTTCTTTCAGAGTAGCAGATCCAAACAAATTTATCTTTACCAAGAGTGTAGCTAACTCTTTTCTTTTCCTGTGCTTGCTTTTGCAGTTATTTTGGTTGATGATTATCCAATTCTTAAGCTTGGGCGTTTATTCCACTTGAACAATATGTAGAACAAGTGGGCAGGCATCTGACTAAGCTTGGAGAATAACATGGAAAATTCAAGTATTCAAAATGTTGCAGTAATTGATAAAACTTTTTCTTTTTTCGGGTGGTCCCTTTTACCCATCCATAGCTCAACTTATTCCTTGAATTTCAGTTTCAGTTGATGCAGATGGCCGTGCATCATGAATTTGGTATCATTCATGGATGTTTCACTGAAACTTTAATCAACGTTCTACATGCATCTTATTGAAAAAGCATCTCAAGCATGAAAATGTGAAGTTGTAAAAACAATGGAGGTGAGATTTCATCTCTCTGATCTTGTGATTTGATTCCATTTTATTTGATAAGCATTTTTTTTAGCTGCATGTGCGTCTCTCTGCAGATCAAGTCAGAGTTTTATAGTTGGACCACCTGTCATTCGTCAGTCAGTTCTTTGGTATGTCATCTTTCTGCCTTCTTGGTGTTTTTATCTTTTATTTGGAGATCAGCTTCTTCTCTTTTGAATTAATCTATATCGTTAAGTGTCATGTTGCATTCAATGTAAAATATGGTATTAGCAGGTCGTAATACCCAAGGACGTGTTATGGTTCATTGAGATTGGTACTTAACACTGCAACGGTTGTCTAAGCATATCCTAAAATCTACGCAGATCAAAGATCGAGCGGCTTGCTAGCTGGTAAGTTGATTCTATGGTGGACCAGCAAGGAGGCTTTGTTCCGTTCTGTTGGTCCCGTACGTATGAATAAGCTTTCATAGCTATTGTCCTGATGGAGCTATCATTTGGATATTTCCAGCATGAACCTTGGAATTCATATTTACGTCATCCTCGATGAGTTTTACAGATTCATAGCTCCAGTTAATGGACCACCTCGCCCATCCTTCAACATCTACTGAATATGAAAGCTCGAGCTTGAGTTACTACCCGGTGATTTTGAAATTTCTTTTGATTGAGCATCAGTTTATGTTTACAACGTGGTATTTTTCTTGTGAACAATTAGAGACTGTGAAAAGAATTTCTGATGTTTGTTGTGTACCTGTATTATTCCAATTTACACGAGGAAAGTTATTGTTATAGCATACGAGAATCTCTGGACTGATTTGTTCAACCGTTTGAAAATTTCCCCCCTTCTTCCTTTCATAGATCACCTGTTTAAAAGTTTTGATCTTTAATTACCTTTTCAACTGTATGTATATTTTCCTTGGGAGATCCCCTTTCTATTGAGTCCACCGGTTTCTCCCAAGGCACAAATTTTTCTGAAAGATCCCTTACGAGTGTCATACTTCTATTTAAATCTATTTTAACGCAGCTAACTTCTGTGCTACGGTTGCATAGTTCAGCAAGAAGAGGTTTGGACAATTAAATCTATTTTAACGCAGCTAACTTCTGTGCTACGGTTGCATAGTTCAGCAAGAAGAGGTTTGGACAAGAATTGTTACTTTAGGTGGGAAGCAGAGACTACGGTTGCATAGTTCAGCAAGAAGAGGTTTGGACAAGAATTGTTACTTTAGGTGGGAAGCAGAGATGATGTACTGTACCAAGAAATAACAGCAAACTGGTCGACAGAGGGGTTATTAACAGGATGTTGAAGTTAAAACATCCCATAAATAGTCCTAAACTTGATCTAGAAGCTTCACCGTCATCGAATAAGTATGAACATCAAAAACATGGCCAGACCCTCAACAAGCCGATAGAAAAAACAGTTAAGCATATCAGCACAAGTTTGATAATGATTGATAATACATAGAATTCATTGTTGATCCTTCGGTATAAGCTTCAATCATGAGTTGCAGTATGAACACAAGCATGGAGAAAAGATGCATTCATTTGCAAAGCCCATCCTAGCATAAGCTTTAATTGGATTCTAAGTTTCTAAGCACTAGCAACTATACTGTCACATTACGGTATACACATACATACATTATATGAAATTGTATCACATATGACCATGCCTCCTTTTACCGGTGTCTGTTCTCATTCTCTTTACAGGCTTGGCCCATTGGGCCTCCGCTTTCACACCTGGTGAAAGCCCACCAGCTCCTCCACTGCCCTGCTGCTGGGCCCACCTTGTCGTCTGCTGACCTGTACCCCTACTTAACGGGGATGCTCGGCCTTGGCTGGAAGGAGATGCTGGCCCCACCCTCCTATCTTGCCTCCTCTTCTTGCAAATAACAAGATCACCAGGATGGGCCAGGGGGCTCTCATTATTCAACTTGGAGGCATGAGTCCGGGTTATTCTTTCTTCTTCATCAGGAGTCGCAGAGGCACGGGTATTAGGCTTGGCAGTGGCTGGGCTTGGCTCCAAGTCGATGATTGTTCTCTGGCGCTTGCTTTGGTTGGTAGTAGCAGCAACAGATGGAGATCCTCCGCAGGTTGGAAAAGTAAACGAATTTCTGGAGTCTCTGAGATCCGTATCAGGAAAGGCTATCTTCATGATATCAAAGAAGATATCATGAAATTTTCTTGCTTCATGCTTCACCTGGAGAAAGATTCAGAAATTAGAAAAGAGTATGCGGTCGTCTCAGCATTTACAAATTGGCAACTTGTCGAGGTTGTCCTTAAAGAAATAAAAATTTAGGAAATAAGAGTTTGAAAGATTTACCACCAAATGTTATTTAACTAATTAGCATGAATAAATAACATACAAAACTAATCAGCATTGAATTGTAATTTCAACAAATAATTTTTAGCTCCCTCTCTGTTTTCCCTTTGGTCAGCTGTTGTTGGTTCTTTTTCCAGTCAGCACGCTGTATGTTGCAGACATGGATCATATCAATATTCTCTCAATCCCGTAGATAATAGAAATGGTTAATTTCAACAAATAATTTTTAGCTCCCTCTCTGTTTTCCCTTTGGTCAGCTGTTGTTGGTTCTTTTTCCAGTCAGCATGCTGGATGTTGCAGAAATGGATCATATCAATATTCTCTCAATCCCGTAGATAATAGAAATGGTTCCACACAGTATATGTTCGAAAAAGGAGGAAAATCCTCGGGTGCACTGCTGAAACTAATGCTAAACTAATTTATGAATTTATTTTTGTCAGTTGGGAATATGCAACTTCACTGTAAAGTTATGTGATGGCAATTGAGGTAAACATCATTATTTTGATTTTCATTGACAGGAAAAGAGATAGAAGCAAAACAGTCAGGCTACAAGGTGTTATATAAAAACTTGGTGTATATACAGTAGATTTGCAGCAGTATTACAATTTAAAATATTTCCATAAGAATAGTCGAGAAAGCAGTAAGATAAGGAAGAAACTTGTGTACCTCGTACGAGTAATTGCAGTACTGAACCACATTTCTCAACATCAACTGAACGTCAGCTATAAAGTCTGTCAGATCACTATATTCTAAATTGTCCAGACAATGGTTGATCCTACGCAAATCTAAAGGGTTGTTCTCTGTCACAGAAGGGCTGGCCAGACTAGAGCTTTCATTTCTCTTCCACAAGTCATATAGAACAGGTACAGTTTGATACCCATCTTTGCTTATTTTCCTTTTCAGCTTACTAATAACGTTCTTGCACTGTAAACGAGAAAATGGTAATGTTTCAGTCAAAGAAAACAGTTGAACAACTATATACGGCAGTGTCCAAATAAGACACTACGCAAGCAGTGTCCAACTAAGAAACCAGAAATGCACGTCAGCAGATCAGGAAGTTCAAAGTGATTTTTTATCTGGAATTATCGACAAGGAAGACAAATACAAAATAGACTCATAATTAAGATAAAGAAAAAAAAATTCATATAAAGAGAAAGCGACATAAACAATGAATCAGTCAACATATATCTTCCTTTAGCATACTTTTCATGGCAGTAACATGATATTTTACAAACCTTTCAGAGACAGAACACTATATGCATTACAATAATTTAAGGAAATAAGAGTCGTTAATATATAATTCCTCTGAAGACAAGCAGGTATTTTAGAGTAAATATAGACAAGGAAAGTTTTGACCAGTATAGTCTTCAGTAGCCTCCCTAGCTGGGCAAAATATTTGCTCATATAATTTTTATTTCAAAGATTCAGTCTTCCCCAAAGGGAATGTAGCTATCCAGTATGACATCTCCTAGGACTAGAGTACAACATTCATCACCTTAACTCATTCCAAGGGCACGAACTAGGTGACATTAGTAAATCTCATAGCAATATCCTATGATTTGTGGACTAGTGACTTGGAATGCCAATGGGTTATTTTCTACGTAGCGTCTCATAGCAATATCCTATGATTTGTGGACTAGTGACTTGGAATGCCAATGGGTTATTTTCTACGTAGCGACACAAGGAAATGGCTACAAATAACATCTATTGACCAACAGATTAATTATCTTTTTGTCAATTAAATGAAATATTTATAACCTTCACATGCTCAGCATTGGCATGTGATACAATCATTCAACAAGTTCGCTGGGTTTGTATCTATTGACCCATAGAAACAGTTGCTGAAATACTTGCATTGCTCAGAAACAAGCTGAGTCTCATACCTTCAACAATTCAAAAACTAACATCATAGGAGGACGAAAGGTACAATGACCCGCATTTTATGGAAACAAATTAATAAAATTTCAACAATCGAACTCTTCGTTTTCCCTAGGATCTCAGTGAAAGAGAGCTTGCACTATATACACCATTTGGATGCAAAGTATTAAGCCGATAAGTCACATCAGTGTTTAAAAAACCCCTTACATAAATTGTTACAACCCATTTTGTACTTTAACGGTGCCTTCTTGTTAGGTAAGACACTCATTTAACCTTGAAACTGTTTAACCCAGAAAAAAACATGTTATATTGCGTTAAATGTGCTTTATGTTATATAAGTAGTTAACATGGTTTTTTTAGGTTAAATTGCATCTTAGATTAGGACGCGTTGATGTATCTCCATCATCCAAATCATTTAAACTCTACCCCTTTTAGTCCCGATCACTCTATTCTCTTCATGTGAATATGCGACTCTTCGCCTTCTCTAACCCAAACCCTAGCTCTTTGTCTTCTCTGAAACTCTTCCAGCTATTGGCGGCATCTATTACTCCATTGAGGTAAATTTTTTATTTTTTAGTTATGCAGTTATGCATCGAGCATCTCAGTTTATATCCTTCAAATAAATAGTAACTCTGAAATTACCTTCCAAATTCCAATCTTTTATATTGTCAATTTACCATAAATCGCATCGAACTTGTTGCTCCATTACTTCACCTTTTAACATAATTTTTTAAGATATGCCGCAGAATTAGAGTACCGAGATTAATTAGTGGGTTAATTGTGTTGGTTAGATAATTACTTCCAGTTATTACTTAATTTTGATTAGGTTTTAATTTTTAGTTTTCAGTTAATACTAGAGTTTGTGAAATTAAGTTTGCACGCAATCTCTGTATATGTAACATTTCTTATTGTTGTTACGTAATCATGTTTAGTTTGGTTGATGTAGTGAACTTGATTAGGAATCATATTGCCTTAAACCTGACGACGTTAATGTATTTGATCATTTAATGATGCTTTTTGGAATGGTTGTTACTCATATATGACTAACTTTTTTAAAAAAAAATTATAATAATATATTTTTATATTTGAGCATGTGACGTTATGTTTGAAAAGTTTTATGATTCTAAGTATTAAAGTTATTATGAATTGTTAGTATTTATAAAATATCTAAATAATTAATAAACAATATAACTTATGTTATGAGTTACGTTTTTCTTGCATTTTTTCCTTAACCCTTAACAGGAGGCCAAGTGTAACATAACCTATTTTTGTTATTTTCAACATTGGTCACAATATATGGAAACAAAAAGAACACAAAAACAGACTGTATGGGATATATTGTGAAAGCAAACAAATACTTGACCAGCCATGTCATGCTTCATACATTAGACATGAACGAAATGTTAGAAGTATACAGCATTAGATAGTTAAATTCTAGTCCTAAATAAAATAGATATTCTGCTGATAAGGATAGCAATTCATGACAGTGCATGTAAAAAAAGTTTCGTACCTTCCTCTGGTTACCATCTGACATTTTTGATCCTGTTGAGCTAGTGCCATCAGTATAAATGATCTTGGAATTCCAAATTTCCCTAGAATTATTCATGGCATCTTCTCTCAACCTGCTGGATTTTTGTATATTGATGTGTGAACTCCTTGAAGGAAAATCATGTCTTCTATTTAACAAGGTGTTAGATAAATCATGTCTCTCTAAACCAGGCTTGCTGAGCTCATCAAATTCCGGATCATTCCTTGATTGCATATCAGAGTCAAGGTCGACCTGTATGGCTAACTGTGATCCACAATGCAAGGATCCTCTCTCATTTATGAATTTTTCTTCCAGTCTTTCTATATTAAGTTTTGGGCGAATCCGCATACTTCTTTTACGCTTTATCTTTGGTTGGAGAACCTGTTCATCATCGCCATTATTGCATTCATGATTCCAACTTCCTGGTAGTTGATGATCCATTTGGAGAACCTGTTCATCATCGCCATTATTGCATTCATGATTCCAACTTCCTGGTAGTTGATGATCCATATAAGAGTCACTAGATGCGGCGATTTGCCCTTCTTCTAGTTCATCATCCTGGAATATGCCAGAAAGGAAATAAGAGTCACTAGATGCGGCGATTTGCCCTTCTTCTAGTTCATCATCCTGGAATATGCCAGAAAGGAAATCAGATATATAGTTATCTCTGATCAAAGGAAATGTGTTCAATTATACAAGAAAGGGAGGAAGATTAAAATATTTTGCACTCACGATTCCTTTTGAGCGACGATTTGGCTTGGCATCTAAAGCAGAAAGAGAACCAAACTTCCGTGATGACATGATGGAAGGTGTAGCAGACTGATTTACTCTTCGAGCTCCAGAAGAAGACCCTCGAACAGCAGCTTCCTCAAACTGGTGTGCATTTCTGTTGCCTACCATTGCATGAGAGAACTCACGGCCACCACTAACACAAACAAGACCTTCTTCCAGTTGATCATCATTACCAGGTTGCATGTCGACAGCACAAATGAGGTCATCTTCAGATTCTCCTACTTCTCTCTCTTCCTCCTGCAAAGAAGATGCATTTCCCTCAACTGAGCTGGATTCAGAATCTTCAAAATCATCCTCATCCAATTCTCTGTAGATAGAATTCTTTTGGGCAGCCCTTCGTCCCCTCCTTTCAGCCTTGTTAGGAGATATCCCATTTGCTTCCAGTTCTATACTACTATCAAGTACATTCTTTGATGGCTTCTTAGATAACTTAGCAACAGCAAGATCCAATTCTCTAGAACCAGCACGGAGCCACTTTGGAACTTGATTGTGGGTTATCATCTCCTCAGTCCAATCAAACTCCTCATCCATTTGATCAAAAAGCTCAATCTCTTCTTCATTACGAGCAATCATACGGTTGACCTCCTCTAAAGAAGGTACATCATGCACGGTTTCTTGGTATCTCTCTTCATCATGTAAGAGTGTCTCCAAAGTCATTCTCCTCTCTTCATGGGTTGTTCTTTGGTCAAAGCGACCAGCATTTATCACTTCATCAGCCATCTCAATCTTATATTGTTGAATGTTGCTACGAATAAGGCTCTCAATGGAGCCCATATACCGATCTTTACCAGCAAGATCCTCCTCCAGCTCTTCTGAACCTCCAGTCCTCAAGTTGTCTTCTTTCTGATAACTAGAATATTTGTCAACAACAGCTTCCATATATATCACTTTCACCTCTCTTGTCTGTCCAATGCGATGAGCCCTAGCTACAGCTTGCTCTTCGTTTTGAGGGTTTGGATCAGGATCATATATGACAACGGTATCTGCAGTCTGGAGATTCAAGCCTCTACCAGCAGCACGAATACTAAGCAAGAATATAAAACAGTCGGAATCTGGGCTATTGAAATCAACAATTGCAGACTCACGATCTTCTAGGCTGGTTGTACCATCAATTCGTCTATAAACCAGCCGACGCCATTGCAAGTATTCTTCTAGTATATCAAGGAGCTTCGTCATGGTACTAAAAAGAAGAACACGATGTCCTGCTCTGTGAAGTTTTATAAGAATCCTATCAAGGATCCAAAGCTTCCCGCAAGATCGAACAAGGAAGTCTATTGAATAATCATTAAAATAAGGGTAGTTAAGCAATGGATGATTACAGGCCTTCCGCAACTCCATGCATCTATTATTCAGATTTTTATATGTTTTGACCTGGTACGTTGGATTTTTCTGTGCCCTGCGCAACTCGTCTTCAGGATCCACTTTAATGGTACCAGTAGATTTAATCCAATCGTAAATGGCACCCTGAATTGCTGACATTCTGCACCTTAGAACAATTGGGACCTGAATCATGCATTCCAGTAAAATATTACTGCCAGAAAACTAAAGAAATGAATGGATGAAAATAAGGAGATACTGACCTTTGGAGGGAGTGACCCTTCAACATCTTCAACACGCCAATGAATGGATGAAAATAAGGAGATACTGACCTTTGGAGGGAGTGACCCTTCAACATCTTCAACACGCCGCCTTAGCATGAAAGGCTCCAGAATCTGATGAAGTCTGTGGATTATGATCACTTTTTTTTCAGTCTCAAGCCAGTCATCCTCTTCTTCACCATGTGAAGGTACATCCTTCTGAAAGGGCTTAGAGAACCAATCATGAAATGCCTTTTTGTTATCAAATACTTCAGGAAGAAGCAGATTTAAGAGAGACCAGAGCTCCTTCAAATCATTCTGCATAAGTCAACTCTAATTATGTAGCCGCAGATAAAACTAACATAAGCTATTAAACTCATATCTAACGATATATGACTTCTAAGTTCAACTCTATACCCTAAAAGCAAAACCCTAATCCCCACTCTTTTTCTCCCCCAATACTTCAAATCTATGAATTTCTGGAGGGATAAATTCTAGAAATGAGACAATTACTTTAGAAAGCCCAAAAAATTAAAGACTAGGAGGAACGATTCACTCTTTCTCATATAGATACATTTTCATAACAAATAGTTGAAAATATGCATGCCTTGCTGAGCAAAAACTTAATCCACTGCTTTTAACTAACAAGCATACCTGTAAAGGTGTGCCAGTGAGTAGCAATCTTCTTTGACAATGATACCTATCGAGATCTCGAGCTAAAACTGATTCTCTATCTTTCATGCGTTGAGCTTCATCAATAATGATATATTTCCAATCAATTTTACACAGCTTTGAGCGGTCATACATCACAAACTCATAAGTAGTAACAAGTATGTTAAACTTCATGGCGGAAACCTCCTGTTACATAAAAAGACGAGAAATATATAGTTTACTTTCCATCATTTATGCACCTATAATTAGGCAGCATTATAGTAGAAAATACTTGTTTTTCATGATTAGAAGATTAAATGGGGAATTTCACAAGCATAACATATTCTTCATCAATTCATACGTAAACCACCTTAAATTGTTCCAGTCAACCACCTCCAAGTCAAAATTTTCATCGAAATCCCAAAAAATATCACATTTAAGAGACGTGACTCACTTTGTTAATGTTTAGGTCATGTTAGAATACATGTCACGTTCCTTAAACCTGCATTTTCTAAGGTTATCTTTGGTTTTTTAGTGAAGATTTGGCCAGGAGGTGGTTGATTGGAACAAAAATCCTCTCAAGTGTGAGTTTTTAAGGGTATTTTTGGGCGTTTGGTGAAAATTTTGACTTAGAGGTGGTTGATTGGAACAATTTAAAGGTGGTTTACATATAAATTAAAAATGAAAGGCGGTTTCTGTAAAATGACCCTATTTTAAGGTGGATTGTAGGAAAAAAAACTGAAAAACTACTAATGACGGGACGACAAGTTTTAAAGCAAAATCAAACATGAGTACCACTTCCCAAGTTATATGTCGTATCTACATATTCCACACCTATGATGCCACTGACCCATAACCATAAAAGCATACACGCTATGGACACCCCGCCTTGCAGAGAAGCTAAGTGATTAGCGTAATGAAATAAAGGCTTTTCTTGTTGACATCTTGAACTCCCAATGATAGGCTCGTTTAAGAACCAATATCTTGCACAAACCTATGTGTGTATGGAACAGGTATGAGTGTGAAAGAAACAAAAAAGCAAGCCCACATATGATACAATTTGAATACTAACTTTCTTAGGGAATTAGGAGCAAGGCATTTGCACTCTCATTGTAAAGAACAACATAATATTAAACATCTTACAATCAAAATATAGTTCTGCTTAACTTTTCTATTATACTTTAAGCCATAGTTACACGATATGAGATATGTCGTAGGTCGTCGTAGGAATTCGGGTACGCAATTTGCCACTTAGAAAATTTAGATTTGAAGGGGGTAGCTTGCTTTGGTAGGCAAGTTTGGTTAGTTAGTGGTATCATAAAATTGTTTTGGGTGTGCTTATCATTTTCCAAAGTGTATAGTACATATCTAAAAACTAGAAAGCTAATTATGTAACTCTATTTTTTCATACAAAATACTTTAATACTTCTTTTTAATGGGTTTGTTTTTTTGATCTGTTTTTCTTTTCACATAGTTCATCTTGGGATCATGGTTTCATTTCAAGTTTTACTAACAAGGGTATTTAGTTATAGTATACGTTGGCACATATGTTTTATTGTGCTTCTCCCTTCACTCAATTGCGCATATTGCATTGCATCTTGTGCATGTACACCTAAAAGGACTGTCCCCCCCCAATACTTGTAAGCGGTACGTCAATTTTGGGGAACAAATTCGTGTATCGGAGGGAATCAATTCGTAAATATGCTGGGAATCGGTTCGCAGGGCCAGAAACTATACAACGCCTCAGAGTTGGACTAGGGAATCACATGAGGATGCTTTAAGATGATAAAGGCAAAAAGTTGCAGACAGCGTGCTCGTATAATTTTAATAATCCACGCTATGTTTTCAATATGCCCGTATACTTTTGATAATTTATACCTATGTTGCATGGGTACAAATATGAGGTGCGGGTGCAGGTACGGGACACGACAAATTTATAAAAAGGTTAATTGCGAATTGAGGCTTTGTAGTATCACCCCTTTGCGAATAGCCCCTTGTAGTTCTATTTCTGGCAAATAGAACCCTTAGTATTAGCCCATGTGCAAGTACACTTGCTTAGTGAACTTTTTTGACTCTTTTAAAAGTCAAAAAAAAAGCAATGGAGGGTCTATCCTCACCAATAGAATTATAGGGGGTCTACATGCCTCTTCAAACCTTTTTAACAACTTTAAGAGTGAAAAAAATTCACTCAGGGAGTCTATTCTCAAAAATAGAACTATAAGGGTATTCGTAATTGGGTGATACTACAAGGGTCATGTTCACAATTAACCCTTTATAAAAAGTAGGATACAATATACAGCTATATATACATCGAAATTTAATATTTTACATGAAATCAATGTTGCTTTTTCTTTCACATGTTACGAGAATCAAAATTTCTATAACATTTTTATGTTTCTTTCATTATGGATAAATAATTGAGAGTTCTAAGTTAAAACATTAAACATGTATCATATAATTGAGTACACGTCTGAGTAATGTATGCATATATTCAAGGAGTGTCCAAGGAGTGTTGGTTATGGGTACAAGAAGTGTTGGGTACAGGTACGCCTGCATGATAGAAGTCACCATGCAACATAGAGGTATACTATGCTCTAAATGTAACTCAAAACTTCTATATGTTTCCACACCATATGTATATCTTTGTGTGTTTATGTGCGCGCACACACGTATGTGTACATACATACACACAGATGTGCGCGTACGTATGTACACACACGTATGCACGCAGGCGCATACATACATACACACGTACGCACGTATACGTGCCTATAATACCCCGACACAGTAATTTTAGCGCCGTACCCGTGTCGGGTGCGGTTTGGGTACGTTTCCGCACCAAAACGGAGGGAACACGGGAGCAGCTCATTTCCCACGTGTCAGGGGAAGCTTGGAGATCGAAGACGAGGCCGGGGAAGCGTCGACGAGTGTCAGGGAAGCTTCGACGAGGTCGGGGAAGCGTTAACGAGGGTCGGGAGATGGTCTTGCCGATGAGGATTTTGACGAAGATCTGCATGTTGGCGGCGGTTTTGAGGGGCTCCGGCGGGGGAGGGCGCCGGCGGGGGAGGAGAGATTAGGGTTTTGAGAGGAGGATTTGAGGGGAGGCAAGTTTTCTAGGGTTAGGGTTTGGGTGAGGAATGAGTAAGGGCATTTATAGGGAGTAGGAATGGGATGAGGGTGGATCTAAGGCATTCGTTCTAGGGTTGGAGGATCTGACCGTTGATTTGTTGTGGGAACGTTTATTCAGGGTATCATTCAGCCTGTTTAATTGGGCTCAACTAGCTTTTTGGTTACTCACGAAAGCTCACCTCCCTCTAGATTGGTGTTTTTTCACATAGACCATTGAACCTTGTTTATCTCACATAATCTTGGTGTGGGTGACACAATATTTTTTGAGTTAAGAGTCCACTAACTTGATGATATGAAGTCAATTTGTAGGTTTTTTTAAGGAATGAGCTAATTTTCTCAATTTGAAATTAAACATAGTAAAATTGCTATAGTTAATATAATTGTTAATTTTTAATATATAATATATATAGAATATAATATACATATTATATATATATATATGTATATATATATATATGCTATATATATATAGACATATTATATATATGTATGAGCCGTGTCCCCGTACCCTACTTTTTACAAATTTGACGTGGTTCTCGTACCCGTACCTATGCAACCTTCGGCTACATACATCATATTATAACCTTCTTAAAAGAAAAAAAGTTTAAATCCATTGAAAATAGAAGCCAATGAAATTACACACACACAGCGGCACACATATCCATTCTTTAAAAGCCAAAAGTTTAAAATCCATTGAAAATAGAGCCCATGAATATATATATATATATATATATATATATATTATGATATATATATTATATATATTATATATATATTATATAGCAATATGGGTATGCTTGCCGTACAAAGCACAAAAAGTTATGCTCGGTAGTGATGTGTCACATCCCCCTCCACTCATTAAAATTATGGGACCACATTCACATGGGTAGTGCAAGTGGATGAGGATGCTGACACATCACTACCTAAGCCCACAAAATTGTAGACTGCTTTGCACCAAGCCATACCCATTTTTCTCATATATATATATATATATAATATATTAATAGTATATATATATGATATATATATAATATAATATATATTATATATATATATATATATATATATACACGCACAAACATTATAGAGAGAGATAGTAGGGGTATATATATTATATTATACACACATATTTATAATGTGCCAGCACTTCAATGTTTATTTGTCATATATATATTATATATATATATATATACAGACAAACATATAGATAAATATATCATTATATATATTAGATAATATATATATATAATATATATATAATATATATATACAGACAAACATATAGAGAGAGATAGTAGGCGTATATATATATATATACACACATATTTATAATTGTGCCAGCCTTCATGTTATTATGTATATATATATATATATATATATATATATATATATATATAGATATAATAGTATATATATATATATATATATATATATATATATATATATATATAATTATATATATATATATATATACAGACAAACATATAGCAGAGAGATATATGGGTATATATATATATATATATACACACATATTTATAATGTGCCAGCCTTCATGTTTATTTGTCATACAACAAATGAGAGCTAAAGTCATGCATATCTTTTCGGACTAAATGTTTCCTCTCTAGAGAATTGTTAAAATAGATAGATACTTATGGCATCAATGAAATTTAATTAATGGGGAAAAAAAGAATTGTCCATCTTACATGAGAGAACAATCTTGCTCTTTGTTCCTTTGCACCAACATAAAAAATACAATGTACAGATGGCAACCATTTATGCAGCTCACTCTGAAAAACAAGAAATAGGTCAACTAGAAGCTTCTACAAATGAAAATTTGTAAATTCAGCAAGAACAGAATGAACATTTAACCTTCCAATTCACTAAAACCGCATTGGGAACTATAATAAGATGGGGCCCATAGTTCCCTTTGAACTCCATCAAATAAGCAATCAATGCCATAACCTGCTTGGACATCAAATAAATATTGTCAGAGTAGACAATAACAGACAAGATAGTCCATAATACGATACAGAAGAAGGAATAATTCTGATAGCAGGCATGCTCTAAGATAACCAATTATGCTAGTCGCTAGCCATAGTTTACAAGTCAAGTTATAAACTGAAAAAGAAGTAAATGTGGGTTATCTATCATAAATTACTGTATAGTAAATATTGAGTTTTTAAACAGGAAAAAGGTAAGGAGAAGAGATAAGCTATTGCAGTAAGTTAACAAAGGATGAAATAATATAACGTGGAGCAACCTGCACGGTCTTTCCTAGACCCATCTCATCTGCCAAAATCCCATTCAACTTATTGTTGTACAAGGAAAGCATCCACTGCAGTCCAACCTGAAAATGAAAGGTACATTTCTTTAGCTACAAGTCAATGGAAGCGAAGACACAAACGAAAAATTTGGAACTTACAAGCTGATAGTCCCTCAAAGTTCCTGCCCGTAACATTGAAGGCTGTCTTAGAACTCTTTCATTCACGGCATGTGCCAAATTGTAATACCTGCTAGGGATGAAATGCATTAGCCATAGGAAGCAAATGCACATACGTAGCATATGATAAGGTCAAGACTAGACTTCCTTCGTTTTTCCCTTTGTTGGCACGTAACAGTGGCAAAAAAAAACATTGTTCTCAGTGCAAGACATCACATACACCAGTCTTTAGTCTTTATGATAATGAATGGAATAAATAAAGAACTTACTTATTATCAGATGTGCTATCTCTTGGTGCATTCATTTCAGAGAACCTATTTCTTATCATGACCTCGTCTCCTGCACACATTGCAGCAGCCTTCACTTCTTCTTCTGAAAGGCCCTGTTTGCATGTAAGTAAAGAAAATAGATATTAAATATAGCCAAATTGTCACCATATTAGTGAAAGAAAACAACACGAGTAAAATAGACGTGCAAAAGAATGAACACCTGACATAGTGCAGCAGCTGCCGCAGCTTTTGCAGCTTCTTCCACCTCTTGGTGATTCTTTGCCGCTGTTATTTTCCCACCAAGTTTGTGGAGATACTCTTCTGTTTGAGATAAAAAAGATGAAAGAACAGCATAGCGCTGAGAAGCATCACCAGGTACATTGGTCTGTTGTTCCAGCAACATTTCACGATACCGATCCACATCGTTATTCTTCAATGCCTCCATTCTTTTATTTCTGTGGTCGTCTTTTCTTTTGGAAAACTCCCTCAACATTCTCTCGTGATATTTAGCCACTCCCCTATTCCGGGTTGTTCGTGCATCACGAACGGCCCAGTGAACTTCTAAGAGCTTCTTGCGCCACTGGAAGATTGACTTTAATTGCTTTTCTCTTGTGGCCTTCCGTAGCTGCTGGACTTGTCTAGAGAGTTCAATTCGCTGTCGTTCACATTGTCTAACAAATTTACGGTATGGCTTGTCAGGCATTGCCATTATCTCCTGCTGATATTGATCAAGCTCATCCTTCAGACGAGTCTGAAGATCTAAAAGATTAATCTTTTTTTCTTCAATTTGCAGTCTCAGAAATAGATCGGGTCTAATTCTTTTCCGCTCCAAGTTAATGGCAAGTAAGCCACTAATTTTTTCCTGATTCTCAGTTCTTTTCTTGTTAAGCACTTGCACGCCTTCCTCATATAGTAGGTCTTTTAAATCATATGCTAATGCTAGACCACTTGAGCTCGCAAAGGTTTCAGCTTTACTAGTAAAGGAAGAAAAATCAAACAGCGGGCCATGAAATTTTTGGGTAGGAACATCTCTTGATGGTAGTGCACTGCTGTTAGAACCTGATTTATTTACTTGTCCGGAATCAGTTGCTGAATGAGGAATTGGGACCATTTTCCCCTTATTAACATTATAATCAGATTTAGCATATTTTGATTGACCATCAAGTTCAGCGTTCTGCTCAGCTTTAACAGAAACAGAAGCCTTTTGTTCTGGGTTTGCTCTACTTGCTACAGATAGAGGTTCCTTTGTCAAACTTGCTGATCCTTGCAAGTGATTAACCACAGCTGCTTTTTCCTTTCCACTAACAGACTCCTCCTTCGCAAAAACATGTCCTTTGCCAGGCGGAGCAAGCTGAGGAGTGGTATGGCTGATATTTACATGCTTTGCATGCTCTTCAACAATTTTGCCAACAGATTTTTCAATGGTAGATGTCCCGGGTGAATGAAACTCCTGTTGTGTCTCCATATCAAGTGGTGGTGGTATGATGGCTTGAAGAAATTCCTGAGGAAGAGCACCTTCACCACGCTGCAGAATTCATGTAAGATATCAATCCAACTTAAAATACACTTGTCTGGGGTTTTACAGCTAAAAGGATATCGAGGAAGCTCTAGCTGTATATTTTTATTTTATCTTTATTTGACGTAAGGGGAGAAAGAAGAGAAGATGATTGGTCTCCAGTACCTTGAGACGCCTAAATGCTAATATTTGTGCTTTTAGAACATGAAACTGCTGCTTAGTAAACCCAGTGTGTTGTTGCGGCCCTTGGATTTGTCCCCCCTGGGATGACGAATGGGTTATCGGGGATACACCTGAAGGAACTGGAGGTTGTGGTGGTGGTTGGTTCAATTGCTCCAATAGCATTAAATGCTGACTTGGCACTGCTTCAGCCCCACTATGTTTATTTTTGGTACCTGAATGTTCTAAGCTATGGCTTGGACTACCAGAAGACTGTGGTGGATGCATTGAAGTATGATCAACCCTCTCAATTTGAATGTCTCTGTTGCGAACTGAAAGTTGTTGCTGCATTTGAATGTTGTTGATCCTCATAGGAGGGATAGCTCCACCAGTAAATGTTGACCCAATGGGAGGTGTTTGCTGACTTTTCACTTTGGCAGCCTGACCAGAGAGATCATTCGCACAATTCCCTTGAGTAGAAGTTTCACCTCCAAGTGATGAGGGCAACACCTGCTGCTTCGACGAAGGTAAACCCAATTGTTGTACCATGGTACCTGACTCATTTGGCTTCTGCATTGCAGCCAATCTAGAAGATTGCCACCTTGGCAGAAGCTGAGCAATCAAATAAGCATTACCTGGAAGAGACAAGTCAATATTACGCTCCATAGCCCAAGCTTGAAACTGTGCCATCAGCAACTGGCTGGTAGAAGTGTTTTCCATGCTTGCCTGTGCTTGTACTGATTGCAGTGACCTAACCATGCTTGTTGGTGTTTGTTGCGCAATTAAATTTTGAGGAGGTTTCAGGTCATTTCTTTGATAGTTACTAGCATGCCCCTGCTCCATCTTCTCACCATGAAAAGTAACAGGTTTACCTTGCTGTTGTACAAGCATATTTCTGTGGGACTTCTGTTGTTGGGTAGCTTCCAAAGCAAATTGGAGGTGAGCTTGATAAACCGAGTTTCGGTCTTGACCATGCCCTTTATTCTGATTGTCCTCATGAAATCGAGCACCACGTTGATGAGGTGAATCGTTAAACTTCATCAATGCGTTGGAGGCAGATATTGCACTGGAAGATGTTGGAAAGTTACTCGCAGAAACGACCCCATGTGCACCACCACCTACTTTGTAAGGTACAGGGTTCTCTCCTTCAGGTTTTCTTAGAAGTTGTTGTTGCTGTGACTGTTGCTGCTGCCGCAATTGTTGCAAATATTTCCAAATTAAAAGAGATGAGCTGGATTGTTGCTGTGACTGTTGCTGCTGCCGCAATTGTTGCAAATATTTCCAAATTAAAAGAGATGAGCTGGATTAAGAACCATTTTCATAAAGGAAGTATAATAATAAAGTCACTTATTTTCACCATACTTTTTTATTAAAATGCATGAACAAGTGATAGAACTTCTGGAAACAAAATCATTAACATTCAGTTACCAAAAATGGATAGTGTCAAAGAACAGGCATCAGATTGAGTCATATACCGTCCATGGTCTGATGGTGCACTCAGTTATCTTAACATATAAAAAGGAAAAGAAAACATTTTATAAAAAGCAACACTATCATATCAAGCAACAGGACTTACAAAATTACAGGATGAACATGACAGCACAATCAAATTAAGTTATCCAAGCGTCAAAGAAACTCAGTAACTTCAAACAAACAAACGAAACCATTTAAGAGAGGCAACCCAGCAAAACCCACTTCCCAATCGTTAAAAATAATAAAGATTACAACTAACAAACAGTCCTCAGGACAACAGCCATATAAAAAACAGTAAAGTGCCAAGATAATTAATAAAGGAAACAATTTATGATAAACTCAATCCACTCTCAAAAGTTAATTAAGAAAATAACCAAACTCAAAAGTATAACCTGAAGAAAACTTCCTCGTTTAATAGTGTAAAGTGCAAAAGAAACCAAAAGAGACAGGAAAATAACCAACCAACCATGATATATATCAAAAATTATAGCAGTCAAGGTCAGGGGGAACGAAAAACATACGACATAATAAATAAAAAAAGAGACACTCATTTCACAAAATGTTGGAGGGAAAAGAAATAATAAAGTGTAGGTGACTGAGTAGTTAAAAAAAAGTTTTTTTTTAAGGGAAAATAGAATACAAGGAGCGGGACATTGATTGAATCAGGAAAGTAACCATAATAACCGCCGCCATCTTCCAGATCCCAATGCAAACCATAACCGACACAGGACAAAAACAAATACCAAAAAAGGCGCGCAATTTACACTCACATTCATCAAATTGAGCTGCTGCTGCTGCTGACTCGATTCAAACCCTAATTGATTCGAGACAGCAGACGAAGACGGCGACGGCGACGGCGATGAAGAAGAAGGCGTCCTCGGGTCCCGTCCATGGGACCTGCCGCCTGATTGCATGCGGGTTTAACTAAAACTCTTAAAAATTGGAACTTTATGGGATTAAGGAAACCCTAGAGATTCGAGGACAAAGATTCGCCGAGAATTTTTGGGGTTCAGCAAGCGGAGGGGGAATTCCCGCGAGAAGTCTTGAGAATTGACAGTGGAGCTGGGACTCGACGCGGATTTGGGGATTGATTTTTTTTTTTTTTTTTTTTTTTCTTTTTTTCCGATTTGGTTTTTTCCCCTCGAGTTGAGCCCTAACCTTTTTATGAGGGGAATTTATTTACGGAGACTTTCTCCCCTTCCTTTTTTTATATTATCATAAAGTTCCATAAATATCCCTTAAAAATGTTTATTGGGTCCCGAGACTCGTAAGTCCAATTGGACGTCGAGTTTTGCATAAGAACCCTCCGCAAACTGAAAATTGGTTTTTGCATGATTACTTCGGATCTAAAAAACACTAGGGTTTTTTTTTTATAGAAGTCAAATTAAAAATATGGTAATTATACAGAAACACATTTAAGCTTTAATTTATACATAAACCATCTTTAATGTAAGTTTTTGTTACAATCAACCACCTCCTAGTCAAAGTTTTACTAAAAACCAAAAATAAGCTTTAAAAATTCAAGTTTATTAATACATGAGTTGTATCCTAACAAGAACTAAACATTAAAAAGGAGTCATGTGGCTTTAATATGAGTTTTCTTAGGGTAATTCTGAGTTTTTAATGGAAAATTTTGATTGAGAGGTGGTTGATTGCAATAAAAACCCACTTTAAAGATGGTTTATGTATAAACTAAAATGGAGATATGGTTTTTATATACTTACCTTTATTTTAAGGTGGTTTCTAGGAAGATGACGCACCATGTGTCTAGCGTATTATTTTCTTATTACTTACAACTTCAAATCTTAGCCATTTTACTTTTCTTTCTTTAAGCAAAAATTGAGTAAAGATGTCACATGTATCGGTTAAAAATCATTTGGGATCTTTACATTTGAAAGTCATTAGTAAGGGTTTCTAATGTTATGTCTGCCATCTGCTTAGCTTATGTTCACAAACTTTTGTTAAATTTTGCTAATATGTTAGTGAAATGGCGGAAAAATGTGCGATTTTGCTGATTATTTTGCCGATTGAAGGCCTTTAATATCACTGACATATTAACAAGATTTAATTAAAGTTTATAAAAAGAATCTTGATTGATGACAAAAATAATGTTAAGAATCCCTACTGATGACATTCAACCATAAAATATCCAGATAATATTTGTTTAATATATGAGAGACTCCATTATAAATTTGCATATCTCTACTTAGTATAGACTAATAACATGTTCAAGACATTAGTCAAGGTCTAATTGTCCAATAGTTGATGCTATAACTGACTTAGAGTTTATAGTTTGGCAAATTGAACGTGTGAATCTCACTTTTTTACTAGAGTTATACTGTATCCTCGTCAATATTGAAACTAGAAAACTAAATATGATTTGATAAAAGAGTACTGATAAGCGTACTGTAATGTTGGTATTATCACAAATAAAAGAGTGGTGTCCGGGTAACTCACCAATTTTTTGTTGCAAATTTTAAGGAAGGTCCTCACATAATTGTTAGTGATAACACAAAAATAGTATAAAAAGTATAGTAAAATTAGCATTTTCCTTGATAAAAGACATGTTATTTATTTCTTTAAAGTTGTCTTGTGCTTAAGTGATTGGTTAACTATACAATATTTTAGGTAGGGGCTGTCTGCACTTTTTAACTTTAAGGATGACTTTGACCCCTTCTAGGGAAGTCAAACATGGATTGAATCCGTTTTCCCCCCTTCTTTTTTCTTTTTAATTTAATTTTCACATGCGATTTCAATAACACTGAAAACACCCTAATGCCACTAGGAAAGAACCTTAGGGGGGTGAATATGGTTTATGCTAATCTAATCCGGTTTATGCCAATTAAAAACTTATTAACAAATAAATCCTAGCAAGAATGATATATTACAAATATATGTGCAAGGATATACAAGTAACACAAGGATAAACAAACTACTAAGGTGATAGGGTAATATGAACAACAAGCAATTGGCAAAGGCGATATAAATGATAAGCACGAATATAAAGGAACGCCAATGACAAATACGAACAAACGATATGATCACGGAGTTCAGTCCCCACGACCTATGTCTCCGCTCCTCACGTCGAGGAGATCTCCACTATCATGACACACCCAGTTTGGAAGCCGGAACTTCTCTACACACTCAGTTTTCTAGTTCACCGAAAACTTTACAATCTCACACTCTTACAATCACACTTTACACCCTCTAAGTGTTGGTTTTCTAGTTCACCGAAAACTTTACAATCTCACACTCTTACAATCACACTTTACACCCTCTAAGTGTTGGTCTCTAGCCCGTGTCTCCCTCAAGTGTTAGGAATTACAACCTACCTCTAGGCATTATCACCTACTCCACTCCTCTTGGGACGACCCTGTCTCTCACCACATACTCCTCTGGTTGTACAAGTGTATTACAAAGTGATCTCACAATTAAGCTCGAATACAACAAAGTTTGTTCTCTATAATGGATGAAAACTCAATGCAGGCTCACTCTCTAAGTCACACAAACCCACAACCCAATTATACAATGTATGCAAATACAATAAGCTCAATGGTTGTGTGTGTAAGCAAAGAGTAAAACAATTATAAACTCAATATAAAATCTAGCTTATGGAAATTAAGATAGAAAACAATAAATAACTAGACTTGAGTTTAAGGAAACTTCTCTATAATGATAAGAGAGAGAGAGGGAGATGAGTTGAATGCCCAAACACCAAAGATTATCTCCTCAAGCCCTTGTGAAAATTTCTTCACAAACTAAACTCTTAAACACACTTTTAAAACCCTTAAACAAACTTGTAATTCTCTTTAAAACTTTTCTCTTTGTTAAATAAAACTGAGGATATGTGGGGGTATTTATAGGAACCCCAAAGCCAAGAGAAAACAAGACAAAAAAAACCAAAAACCTAAAAATCCAAAACTGGAACAATCTAGAAAAAACTAGTCATTACAGTATCAGTCAACCGATGGCTTTCATCAGTCGACTGATGAGCTGACCATTAAAGGCGTTTTCCAGCTCATCAGTCGACTGACGGACCTTATCAGTCGACTGATGATCTCATTAGTCGACTGGTTAGTCGACCAACATAAAAACAAAAACTTTTTGTTATTCTAGGCGTTTTTTCAGTCGACTGAACATTTTCACCAGTCGACTGATAACACATTATCAGCTTGTTATGAATACTAAAACTGAATTTTGAAGTACCTTTAAAAATAGTAAATAAATTCTAAAAAATGTAAACCTTTAGAAAATGTTTATAAACATGTTAATGAACATGTTGCAAAAAGAATTTTTGTAATTGCACTTCACATTTGTAAAATCTCACCATTTTCCAAAACTAGTCCAGAACATGAAAATACAAAACACATGTTTTTGTCATTTTGACTTAAACAAACTTTTGAAACTTTATAAGATGATTTTATAGACTTAATGAAATATGTATATAATGATTGTTAAGTCTAAAAACTAAGAATGCAATATTTTCACAAAAATACATAATCTATGCAATATTTTCTAAAACATATGAAACAAATGAGAAAGTGTATATGAATATAACTATTGTTTCATATCTATAAAGCTAAACCAAAACAAAACAATAAATATAAAATATGTAATTTCGTATTTATATAAACATGAAACCCAAAAACTAAAATGTGTATATATATATAACTATATATATATACATAAAAACCAATAAAATGTGTGTGTATATGATATTGAGCTTAGAGTGTTGAACACACATAATATAAGCTCCTAAACTAGATTACGCAAGCTATAGGTCTTCGATATTGGTCCACTTGGTAAACTATGCGGATGAAGCTTGAACTTGGATCTTCAACTTGAATTGTAAGGCTTCACTCAACTATTCCGCCAACCTCCATTGGCTATGATCGTAAAAGCTCTAGTCTATTCATCCTCCAACATATTGTTTGTCTATAATAAATACAAAAACACAAACACTAAATAAACAATATTAGTAGTAAATTGTTTGTTAAACATCATCAAAACAAAAAGGCCAACAAACACAAGCAAGTGAAGTATTTTATCTGCAGCAATAATTATTTTCAGCATAAGAAAAATAGAGATGACATGTAATATTATTTCATTTATTTTGTTTAAAAACATATTATATTTTTAATCATATCTTAATAATCAAACTATTTTAATTAAAGAGTAATACCCACTTTTCCAGTTTCACTTGGCTTTGATGTTTTTTAGAACTAGAAAAATAGAGATGACATGCAATATTATCTTATTTATTTTGCTTAGAATATATGATTAATAAACATAATTTTTTAATTAAAGAGTGCTAACCACTTTTTTACTTTCACAACGACTTTGATATTTTTTTAGAGGAAGCCAAAGATGCATTAAATTTAAAGCTAATCTTTTTATTTCATATTCGCATACACAATCAATAAAATAAACACTTCAAAATATCGAAAGGGGCAGAGATCCTCTAGATCCTTAGGTGTAGAAAGCTTCTAGAACTCACCAATCACACTCCTCATTTATTGGACGTCATGAATAATATTCATTATATAAATTATATAAAAAATTTAATTAAGAAGTTATATACTCTATAATATAGAACTTATACACACAAGCAACAGAGAGCATACAAAGGCTTTGGAATATTATTTCCGGGCACTAGAACGAAACAGGCTTTGGAATATTATTTCCGGGCACTAGAACGAAACCCATTCTTACCACAAGCTTTTAATAATATGGTCGTGATTTGTCATTACGTGCGACTATCTCCACTATAGAAAGAAGGAAAAAAAAGATCAAATTGGCTAGTCAATACTAGAAAAAAATAAATAGGCTTTCTACATATGCATCGTCCAAAACAACGATTTTTATCAGCTGTAGCAAGGAAACAAACTTCATGATAACAAAAAAAATAGGAAGAAATAAGTACGGCCTACATACTATACTCTATGGATAAAGGATCAAATTGATAAAGAAAGCACCGTAAAGATCAATTAGCGAGCTTTTGGGTCGATACAGTTAAGAACTGCTTACTTATTCATGATATGGGATATAAAGTTAGGAATCAACTTATGTAATAGAGTTGATCCACTAAAGTATTGAGCAGCGGTGTAGCATCAGATCCCAAAGATAGTAAGTTCTTTTTTCTTATGGAAAAAATCTTTTTCAAAGATTCTATATAAATTTCATATATGA